AGAGAATAAGGAAGGATGTTGCAGGCCTGCTTTCTAGCCTCCTGAGCCCAGCCTGCTCAGGTGTGTTGCATCCCTGACAAGGTCTCCGCCCCACCCACCAATTTCCTGGAACAAACAGACACAGCCAGCCAAAACAGAAGGACAAAACAGGGCTACCCCTGAGTCCGTCACAACATTTACGTAATCATGCCCTGGATTCTAAATCCAATCAGCACTTTTTATGACAGCTTAAAATATGAAACGCAAGTACATAACATTGAGAAGCTAGATAGTTAAATAGCAGCCAATATTAACTGTATATTACTGTAATTTAAAAAGTTAACATTATGGTAATATTAGATGTATTTAGCGTTTATTTACCGCCACAAGCTTCACCAGCAGCAGAGAGCAAAGAGTTGAGGACAGCAGAGCAGGACATGTGAGATGTAGGGCATCGTCGCAGAGAATTGGATTGCTTTCAGTTCGCAAGGACAAGGTGCAGCTTGTTTGCTGAATGTGCAAATTACATAGTAAAAGCCCACAACACACACCCCCACCCCTCAGCCCCTCTCCCTGACATACACAGTCACACACGCGCACACCTAACCATCCACCAGCCCTCCATCTACCTTCTATACCAAATGTCACCCTACATGTATAATGATGTGGGGGGGCTTTTATCCCCCTGCTTTCCCCACAAATACCTCTGCCTGCCCCAGTCTGCTGACGATACAGACCCATCACACTTCACCCAACCACACACACACACACACACACACACACACACACACACACACACACACACAGAGGCCTCCTCTTGAATGAAAGTGCGTGGTAATCAGAAGGAGTGGGTGAATCGATGGACTGCACTCCTTGAAAGGAGTATGTGGGATGGGGGGAGGGGATCTGTGAGGAGGGTGGTTGTGGGTGGGGGGGGCAGCATGAAGCTCAAATTGATGTGAGGTCGCTGAAAATGAAGATAGTGGTGCGAGACAAAAGAGAGGGCGGGTCCAGGCACGGAGAGGAGAATGGAGGGAAGGGAGGCAAATTGATTTGTCTGGGGGATGGTATGAGCCAGGGGAATAAGAACAAGGGTGAGTAAATGGGGGGAAGGGTGAGGAGGAGGAGGTGAAAATTGAAGGTGGGGGAAATAAATTGGACAAGGAACATATTCTGCGGGATGGCTGTAGTACAGAAAGCACCTTATATTCCCTTGATAAACACTTCCTCCTAAGATCTTGGAAAGCTGCTCCATTGGTTAGTTCACGGTCTCATTATTCCACATGAGTTTTTTAGTTTCTGTTTTTGGTGCTTTGTTTGTGTTTCAAGCTCAGAAATAACAAAGGTTGGACCCTCAATGGCTGATGCGTGTGGTCCACTTCATATAGAGCGTTGAAATATTAAAACCTGAAGTAGATTTTGGTTGCTTCCTGGTGTGCTGATGTACGTTACATTCATAAAATGAATCATAGGTGAAGTGTTCATTTTCAGAGAGAATGAACTGTAAAATGACTCAGACATGCTGTTAAGTGCTTGTAACACAATATGTGTGGCTGCAGATGTTGTAATCATTGTAGGATATGTGTCTGCACTTTGATGCCACACTGATGGCTTAATCTATTTATTGGAATTTGATCTTAACTCTGTTATTCACAGGGCGACTTTTTGGACAACTGTAATGGACGATCACTCCCCACAGGGACTGATTGAATTCCTCTATTACTTGCTTCCCCCTGTCTCTCTGCTCTGCTTTGTATTTGGCTTCTCACTTAAAAAACGTTTATGCATTTTGGTAAATGAGGAAGGGAGGTTAGGAGTGAAATTCTGAAGAAGAGCATGAGTAAATATGATAGGAACGATAAAGGAAAGGTGGGGGGATTCAGGCACTTTGAGCCCTGACGGATGCTGGGAAAGGAGCCAGGACTCAGGAGGTGCTGATAGCCAATCAGATGTTTTCCTGGTGAATGGATGGATGGAAGGGAGGGGAAGAGGAACAGGTGGATCAGATGAGGGTGGAGGATTGGGATGAGGAGGAAGAGAGAGTCTGATGCAACATCAGTGTGTTAGTTCACTTGCCTTCCTCTACAGATATGAGTTTTGTAGAAATGTCAACCTCGCTGTTTTTCATTGTTCTGTGAGTTTTGATATTAGTAGCATTGATGGCAGTTATATTATATCATGATTATTCATATTTAAGGTTTGTGTCTGTGCACCTAACAATGTGTGTGCTGGAAAAGCATTAAATCTTCTAAAGTTTCTCTCAAAGCATTATATCGTCCTTTTCTCACAATAATGCAGTTTCTCCCCCTCTAAATGTCTACAGTCATATCTATCTTCTTAGCCCATTGTGCAAAGAGCGTCAACACTGTTACCCCATCACTGGCTTTATTTACATACTGGTTCACTGGGTTGAAGCAGGAGAGACTGGTCGTGAGCTGGGTTCAAAATCTCATTTTCATGCTTATGCGGTTCTAGTTTGTTTACTGTCTCTCCCTTCACTGACATTTTGGCCTATTTCAAGCCTGTCTCATTGGACAGATTTCAGGTGATGTCTCTCATTTGTTGGAATCTCAAGCATTTACCCTTTTATTTTATCGTGGTTCATTTAGTCCAATTAAAATGATGCTAGTCCATCTTGGGTTACACCAACAGCCCCAAACACAACAACATGCATGTCACAGTGCAGTGCAGGTACCTTTTACAGCTCCCCTTTCATTTCAAATTGTCAGTGTGAGCCTAAATGACAGACAAATTTACAGACGCAACATTATCAACAGTCCTGTGATGGATTTGACCAGAGGAAACAAACTGTAGGTGTGATCGCACCTGTTACAACTGTCAGGTGCATCCCACTCGATGAAAATGGTGTGAGTTGCTGAAAATACTTTACTCTATGATACTACTTATGATGAACTGCCCTCAGCAGCACAGACTGCCACAGCGCTGTCATATTTCTGTCTTATCTTGTGAAAGTGGGTGGAATTTGGCAAAAACAGATTTACAATAATACTGTTGATGCTGTTTGTGTTTGTTTTCATGGTGATGAGGCCCGCAGACGAGAACTGAAGTCCGACTGTGGGACTCTGATGCTTCCTGTTCCTTCGTATTTTCGTTTTCTTCATGTCATCCTCACTACAGATGAAAAGTTCAGGCTAGATTTCGGTTTCCGCTCAGTGCTCAGAGGAGAGCAGATGGGGGGGATTAGAGTTTGATGTTTATGCTGCGAGACTGCAGACCTCGCTTGATCTAAAAGGTTCAGGTGGTGTCATGCTGAGCGTCTCAGTTCACAGATATTTTTGGAAAAGTGAAGAGTTCAAGGAAAAAAAGTAATGTATAACTGCATCAAGTACATGAATTTAAGGACGTGTCTTTTCTGAAGCACAAGTACAATTATTTCGATACAAAACTGGATCATTTCACACACAATCTTTATCAATTAATAATTTTAATCACTTCGTCTTGTGAATGTATTGCTAAATCATGTAACATTTATATTATATATGACTGCTGCAACATTTTGTTTAATAAAATAATGAGTTCACTGATACTGATATTACATAACACATCTATTTCTGAAGCAAATTATGTAATGAAGTAATTTAACTTCTAATGAAGTTAATTTCAGCAGTGTAATAAATCATAACTTGACCATAGGATAATATCCTTTCTGCCTTAATTAAATCAAGTATTTTATGAGATTATGCAAATTATCAGGCTTTCCCAGGCACTCTGCTGCTATGACCCCATCTCGAGTTTTAGGTGCTCAGGGACAAAGTAGCTCTTTAGGTAAAACTCTGTGAATGCAGATTGAATATGAAGTAAAATTCCAGGTTGTCATTTGTCAATTCAGATCACTTCTTTGTCACTATGATCCTGCTGAATCAGCCCCCTGATCACCTCTGTGAGTTGTGAGGCAACAGTGATTTACAGCCAAACTGTTTATTCACTCCAGGTTGAGTTAGTTTGAAATCAACAGTTCAGGGGAGAAGAGTTTCCGCCTCACATCGTCCAGCCACAATAACACGTGTCTGACACCAGTGACCTCACCGCCACCCATGAATGTGAGGAATGCTGACTATGAGAGGTCAGATGAGATTCATAGGTGGCCTGGTTACTCTCGCTTTTCACCTTTGGGTGTCTGGTTGGTACCAGACTCTGGTCCTATAGCCATGTGACTGCAGCCACCAGGCTGCAGTCTGGTGGCTGCAGTCACATGGCTATAGGACCAGAGTCAAGGTTGGTTGCTCTGATGTTGTGGTATGACCATGTAAAGGGAGCTAGCCTGAAGGGTGTACCTCATCTGTTAACTACTACTGACGCTAACACAGATCAGGGCTGCAACTAAAGCTTATTTTCATGATTAATTGATCATTGTGAAAAATACTCCATTACAAATTTCTAGAGTTCAAGGCGATGTCTTTAAATGTCTTGTTTTGTCTGACCTGTCAAAAACCTAAAGATATTCAGTTTACTATTTTTTAAGATATTTGAGAAGCTGGAACCATGTTAAACATGAATAATGATGACGACAGCGGAGCTGGTATTGTTTTCCCCTTGTGTTTGTGTGTGTGTGTGTGTGTGTGTGTGTGTGTGTGTGTGTGTGTGTGTGTGTGTGTGTGTTTGGTTTTCAGTACTTTGACAAGTTTATTAGGGCTGTCAACAAGTATTCTGAATTTGATTATATAATTGACATTCTATTCAATTCTATTATAATTATAGATATTTGAATGATTCAAACTAATCGAAAGTTATTTTTTGCGAGTTTTGAGTGCGCTAGTGTTTATATGTCTGTCACCGCAATAACATGACAACTGTGCAAGATACAGACATGAAACTTTACAGGTTTACAGTTAGGATCAAAATTAGTCTGAGCAGGAAGTAGGGAAGGGGCCATTGGCACAGATCACTGTGTCCTGGTTTCAATGATTCCCATCCACTCCAAGACACTAGGTAGTGTCTTTATTCAAAATGGCAGGCACATTGTTTAGTTATACTGACGGTTCATCTCTCTCTCTCCTCAGCATACCTCTCTGTCGGCCAGCCGTTCAGAGAAGGGTACCGGCTGGTCAAGCCGCTCACTCGGCGCCCGATGTCGTAACTCCATCGCCTTGTGTTCAGATGAGCAGCCGCACATCGGAAACTACCGGCTGCTCAAAACGATCGGCAAGGGCAACTTTGCCAAGGTCAAACTGGCACGGCACATATTGACTGGCAGAGAGGTGAGTTAAAAGAAACAAGAAGGTAGGAGACAGCGTTGTTGTCCATGACAGCACCCAGGACTAATGAGGCTGAAGAGAAAGAGTTGACAAGTAGAAGCAGTCTCATGGGTGAATACCAGGGTTTGGGTGCCAGAACAGAACAGAGCAGAACCCTGGGCCTCAGCCCAGAGATTGAGTTTTAAAGGGTTGTTCCTGCAAGTTCAGACCATGTTCTGTTATAGACATGTATAGTCAGCTAAAACTGTCTTGTCTCCCAGCACAGTCAAGACCTTAAACCCCTGAAGAGAGGCAGTCATGTTTTTCTTTTGTGTAGGTGTACGCCTGTGTGTTTAAATACACTGCAGTCTTTCTTCTTGTAAAAACCTGACCTACATTAGCTGAGTTGATAACTCCATCAGACTCAGTAGAAAGTTCATGTGCCCGCCGCTGGCTTGATCATGTGAGTGCTGTTGCATTCCGCCCCCATAAAACAGAAGACAGTCATATATTGCTGGTTTACAGTGGTGGTTTGATGCAGTCTTTGACCAGGTCACCACATGTTGTTAAGCCTCTTATGAAGCCGTGTTGGTTTGTTTAGTGGATTTCAGCTTCTGTTTTCATTACATGCTCTAAAACACTGTTTCTGTTCACTGCAGTGTGAGTGGTTTGATTGCTGTATTTTTTTCATATTTAACTTTGAATAAGGGAGAATGCTAATGTTAATACTAAAAATGTGTTTCATTTAAATGCACGGTTTATACAGTTCAGAGATTGGACTCTGCAGCAGAGCACATAGCTCAGCAGCTACAGCTCTGATAAAGAAATAGACAACGTTACGCAGTTTGAAAACTGAAGTTGTTCAGTATAAATTCAATTACAGCTGATTAGAACAATCAGTTAATTGATTAAAAAACTGATCAGCAACTGTTTTTTGTTTAAAGTCAGTTTTCGCACAAATTTACTAAAGTTTAATTTGAACTTTTAACTTTATTTAGAGTAAACTGAATATATACAATTATAATTGACATTACAAACCAAGCCATTCATCAAGAAAATAATCAGCAAATTAAATGATAATGAAAACAATTTTTTATTTAAGGGAACTATTTGTAAGTTTTGCTATTGCTACATAGCTTACATTAGCATTAACAGCTGTTTACCATAGAAGAAATGTTGAGTTCAGCATCAAACTTCATTCCTTTACTCACCAACAGCTGTCTCCAGAAGTGGAAACAAACACCAATGTTAACTCATGTCTATATCACGTGTTGTCTTCCACTGAAGTTAGCATGCTAACCAGCTAGCCCTGGCCCGTCTTGTCACTTTCTGATAGCGACTCACTGCAGCCTCCAATCTCCCCTGAAAATGTAGCGCTGCTCAGAGGACGTATTACAACCTCTTGTCTTGTCAACACAACAATAGCTGAAGCTCTTGTCAAGCGACAATCACCACCACCTACCCAGAAAGAAACCAAGTTTGGAGGCAGAGAACACGTACAAATAGCTATATAATATAGTTATTGTTCATTTGTTTTCCTATTGTTTCCTCACAGGTTGCAATAAAGATCATCGATAAAACACAGCTCAACCCAACCAGCCTACAGAAGGTGAGTGGTGTGTCATTGTATGTGTTTGTATATGTGAGCAGACTTTTGTGTGTCAAAGTAAAAGGTAAATGTAGAGGGGTAAAGATGAAAACAAGGAGATATACACAACATATACACAGAGTATATGCAGCCATCACACATATACAGATGTTTTCTGTTGTTCAGTGTCTTTTGTGGTGACATCCCAAGCTGACGGGTTTCTCAACTTACATACATCAAACTCATGAGTTGATGCCCTATTTTTCTTTAAGCAGAAATGAACTGCCTACTTTTTTTTTCTTATATTATAAAAGCAAAAGTAATTTTTTTCTATTTTCTTTCTTTTTGTGATCTTTGTCTCAGCCATGCTACCTTATCTACTTAACATCTGTAGCTGCATTATATGTGTGAATATGACCCAAAACTGTTTGTCCTTTTATTTTGAAGACGTAACAGTTGGTCAGTCTGGTATCCCAAGTTTGTTTATTTGCATCTGTGTTGCATCAGGAGCGCAGTAACATCTTCACCTGTTGTTTTGCCATATATGTTGTAACTGTCAGATGACCCTTGCTTGCAGCAGTCATCTGAACTTTGACCCTTTGGTATGTTATGTGAAACTTAATGTTGTGGAAGCAGGTTAAGAGCTGAGACAACTCTGCATCACTTCAGGGAGGATTTGTAAACAGAGTTTGTCGAGCAAATGTCCCAGTTGCACTACTGTTTGATAAAAGGCCAGTTTTAGGGATGATTGAAATCTGTAAACTGAATATTGTTTCATACGGACAGGCCATGAAGCTGGTGAAGCACTGCGCTCTGCTTTGTGTCAGTATAATATAACCATCATTTGTCCACTCAGTCCACTGGAACTAACCAGTTAGAGGCTTAGAGTAATGTACGTCACTGTATGCTTGTCTAGTGACATCTAGAGTCCTGTATTAACTACGTGTATTGCATTCATGGCTTAATGAGATTAAGCTCTCTCCTGTCTGAACTTGGCCTGCTGCAGCTATTTGTGTGCATGTGTGCTGCATGTGTTCATTGAGAGCGATCTAATTAAACAAAATTGAGTGAGAAACATCGCCTCAGGCCTGCGATCTGTTTTTAAGCCTTTAAAGTTGCAATGTTTTCCCATCCGGCTTTGTCGGTGGAATATTCACCTCTGGAAATCAAAGCAGTATTAAAAGATTGATACCTGTTTATGATATTTTTAAAATCGATTATTCATGCGGTCACTGCAGCTGCACCTCTCTGATAGCTGAGGAAATCTTATATCATTCATTGGAAAACATTGTCGTGTCACAGCATCTTTGGCTGAGCCAACGTTAGAGTGAAACACTGAAGTTTGATTTGGTGTTAAGAATGAAATTTTCAGACCTAAATAATTTCATAAAGCTTTGGCGTCTTCTGTTGTGCTGTGTGTGTGTGTGTGTGTGTGTGGGTGTGTTGTGTGTGTGTGTGTGTGTGCTGTGTGTGTGTGTGTGTGTGTGTGTGTGTGTGTGTGTGTGTGTGTGTGTGTGTGTGTGTGTGTGTGTTTGTGTGCATAAATATATGTTCAGCATCTCTCTTAATTCAGATAATGGGTACATCCTAGAACAGTTATGACTGATGAATATGAAGAAAAACATTTCTTTTAATTATTGATTAATCTTCAGATTTTCTTTCAATTAATCAATTAACTGACAGTGCAAAAGTCAAAAATCCAAAGACATTCAGTTTACAGTGATATAAAAGCAAGAAATACTCAAATGTTAAGAATGTGGTATCTGCAAATATTTAGCACAGTAATTTTAATTGTTTAATGGAGTCTAAATCAAGGCTTTTGACAGCATGTACTGTACTTGCTTTGTGTGTTCACACGTTTTGTCACTTTTGCATCAGATGTGCGTTGATAGTTTTAACCTGTGTGTACTTTGTGTGGTTTGCTTTGTGTGAACAAGTCAGTTGTTGTTCAGCGGCGACTCTGCTGACCAAACTTTGGCCTTGTCTGACTGTGAGTGTTTTTTTATCAGCACCTTGACTACAACAAATACACTTGCTCACATCATCGAGATCGATTCTGCATCACACACACACACACACACACACACATACACACACACACACTTACACATACACATAACTACCCTATTGATGAATACTCAGCTGGTTAGCTAACCAGTCTAGGCTGGGTTTGACACTATTGATAGCAGAGAGTTGGGTTATTGATGGTGTCTAGCTCAGTGTGGTAGTTGGGTCACCGGCCTAGATACTGGTCAGGATGGCAAGTTGATCACTTTGCTGCTCTGACTGTTAACACGAGAAAAAAACACACACATGCTTTGTCAGCCAAATCCTAGTATATTATCACCTTTGTAACTTGAGATGGCAAAAAAGTCATAATCATATTCTATTTTTAAATTCTAATCCTAATCCAACCTCATATTGTTGTTGTCACGGATTTGTTTAACAGCAATCCTGCTTGTGTGTCTACAGTTTCCTCTGTGTTAGTGTATCTGTTATGGCCCAGCCCAGCCTTTTAAACAGCTCCTCTTTGTTTTGTTTCCTGTCCAGACCATGTAATGAACCAAAAAATAACATTAGATAAAAGCATGAACACGACATTTCATTTCTGTGTGACTTTGCACAACTTCTGTCCTTAGTTTGGCTAAAAGAGGATACAGGAAGAGAAAGTTTTTCACCACCTGACATGTCTGAGCCAGTCTAAAAGAAAATCTCAGTTCAGTGTGATGTCTGAGCAAATTGATATTTTCAAGTATAAACAGATGCAGATCTACTGCATATTACCTGCAGACTAAATTTCTAACATTCACTATTCAAAAAAGAGGATTTAGATTCGTCGTTGTAAAGACCTTGAATTGCTCTTAGCTCTCGTGAGAAAATAAACAAAGGTAGATAAGTGTGGGAAAACATCCTGATCATGTTCAGATCGTATCCGATAGTGGCTGTGAAATCTAAACCGTTCTGTCGTAGCACATTTCAACCCAGTGTGGATAGTTTTCAGGAACACAGACGTATAGAGACTGACTGCTGCCAAGCAACATTGCACATATGACAAAGAGTGGAAGTGCTCATTGCCAACAAGCTGCATATGAGTTCTCAGACAGCCATCGATTGAAGTTGATCATTTTGTATCTGAGATATACAGCAGGAGATAACTTCTCATCTTTTATAAAGTACCATTATCATGTCCCTAAACCCACAGTGGAGTTCAGGTCTACTTCACAGCACAGTTAATATTCAGTCAGAGTGTTATCACCAGCTGATAAGCTACTGACTCTCTGTAACAGAGGTGAAACTGAGGTGATGGACGATTGTCTGTATGTTTGTGGGAACACAGACCTGTTCATGTTGAACAGCGCCTGTGAGATTCACTCTTTGTTGCATCATTTACCTTCTGTTCCAGCAGAGAGGTGTCGACTTAATTACACTGTGAACCTGCTCTCCAAATCTTTAAGCTAAGACCTTGGTTTTAACATGGTGTGTGTGTGTGTGTGTGCGCGCGCGCGTGCGTGCGTGTGTGTGTGTGCGTGCGTGCTCTGCAGTGTGGTAGTGGTCTAGTGCAGCATAGCGCAGCTGTGTCAGGGCTGGGGCTGCCAGTTGTGTCCTGTCTTGTCAGCATTATTGTTGCCGGTGTAGGACACTACGCGTGCTGCCAGGTGACACTGTCTCTCTCCATCTCTTTGTCTCTGTCTCTGTCTGTCACATATCCTCTCTCTCAATGCCTTCCGCTTTTTTCCTGCAATCACTTTCTCTCTAACCTACAAACTAGGGCTGGAGCAACTGTTCAATTTGATCATACCACATCTAAATTTCTTACTATTAATATTATATTACCTATTGTCTTTTTTTTTTTTTGATTCATCAATCCATTTTCGATTTGGTCTATAAACTGTCAGACTTTGTTACAATTGTTGAATATTTTTTTAATGCAGTGAAAGGTAAAGATATAATTTAAGATTAATCTCTTAAATGGCTTTTTTTGTCTGATCAAATCCAAAAGTATAAAATGCAGAACAGCAGTATTGTGGTACTTCTACAGCGGGAACAACCTCAAGTGATTCATTATTTATCAAAATTATTGTCAGTTAAATTTTCTGTTGATCTTATTTATTAATTAACTAATCTTTCAGTGCTGTATAGAAAAAATATACATAAGATTTCTCCTCACTTTGAGCTGTTTTTATGAAAATACAATGCAATAAATTGAAAGGTATTTGCTGGTTAAATAATGAGCTGATTTCAGCTGAAGATCGATTTATGTCCTTCAACGTACCTAATGGAAGTGCACATCATTGCATTTTAATTTTCACAACATTAATATTCAAAAGAAGTAGTATCCAATGTTGGGCTGAAGTAGAAACAGTGTCTCTCTAAGTCTCTGCTTCCTCTTCACACTCTGTTGTGCACTCTGATCTGTCAACCTCTCTGTGCTGTAGCTTTATGCCCCATTTCTCTCTGTCTGTCTGTCTGCCCCCCCCCCCCCCCCCCCCGTTTTATTCTCTCCTCATCAACTCTTCATTTCATTCTCTTTACTGTAGCTGTGTGTCCCACTTTCTCTGCTCCCTCCCCAGGCGTTGTATTGCCGTAGTGGCTCTACTGTAATCACAGCTGTACTCTCCACCGTCTGCAGCACCACAGGATGCCTGCTAAAACTATTTCAGTGATGCAGTCACTGACAGATTTTTAGACTTTTAAAAGAGTTCTTAGTTTGTACAGAACAGCCAGTACTGCCAAGGCACCACTGTGCAAGCTCCCTGCTTTACTCGAGTGCCAGGCTGCTCAAGTGCAATAGGCTGTTTGATGTATCTGCCTTTGAAATAGTGTGTAAACCATGGCAGTGTAGGTGTACGTACTGTTGATAAACAACATACAACAGAAGACAATCATACGAAAAATCTAAATTAAACATGTCACTCTAAGTAACATTTATATATGGGGAAGTTTAGTTACGGTTCTGTTGTTGCACACAACGACTGCAGTATTTGGTAGAATGCAGATCTCTGCCAATGCTGAGAATCCTA